ACTCACATTACAAGAAAGAGTTGTACGAATGATTATATGATATTCTTGGCAATAATAACTCTATCTACTACATTCTATTTGGTAGAATATTAATATGTTAATTTCTTATTTATTTGATTTATCAAATATTCATCATTCTCTTCTTTTAAAAAAGAGTGAAAAAGGCATATTTAGAAGTTTGCTTATGGTTTAGGAGGCAATTCATGTCCATCTAAAGTTCTTAGTCAAAGAAGTCTAGAGATGTTTTTATATTGCTAGTAGATTGCAAACTTAGACTAATTAGTTTCAAGATATGAATCTAAACTAAATTATTGTATAATTTTTATTATACTTTGAATATTTTTTCTTCACATCTAGTTCTGATTATTATGTTATTAGTATATTGTCTAATAGCATGTTGGTTTTTATTTCAAAGGATATTAATGCCTTGTAATTTTTAGTCTATAGTGACATCTTAAATAAAAACCTTTAATATTTTTGTAATAATGATAAATAGATATGGTGCAAGAAAATACTCTTATTTTATTCTTTTTTTTAAAAAAAGAAAAACATTTTGTGAGAGATCTATTGGTTTTTATTGACGTTCTTATTCCTTGCAATAGGATTTTAATCATATATAAAATTTTTCATTAAATCTATGTTTCTCCATTGATTGAAACAAAAAGATCTACTATACTTTATTGTAAGTTGTGGAGAAAATATTTAATAAAAGAAGAGTTTAATTGGAAGTTTTGGCACAATTCATGTTTTCTTAAGTTACTAATTTATTTTCAAAAATATATCTAAGAGGTAGGAATTCCATTTGATTTAGGTGGATAAGTTTTATTAGCATAGATTGTAAATTTTTTTGATACTACTTATATTGTTGATGAATAATTAATTATATTAAAAAAAAGAATATAATTACACTTTCCATTTGTTATACAAGATCAAAAAATAAACTTAATAGTTTTTGATAAAATAAATATATATAAATGCTAATTTGAAATTACAATATAAAATTTATGAAAGGATAATATTATACTATTGATATTTGGCCAATGAGCAAATAAGATCATGAACATTGTGTATTATGTTATGCACCAATTGCTAACCATAGATAAATTTATCATTATTTATTACTATTTTTTATTAAAATGATAATTAAATTTATCACAAATTACAAGTCATCAAAGAAAAACATTCTTTTAGAAAGTTATCCTTATAGAGCTCATAATTAAGTTTTTGATGGTAAAATTGTATCTTTTCAACAAATATTATTAGCCTTCACCTATCACAGGCCATTTTGCAATTGCATCAGCTTGTGTAATTTTTAATTTCTTATTTTAAAATATAATTAATTTTATAATATATATATATATATATATATATATATATATGAGATTTTTTTAAATATTAGAATAGAAATTAATGTAGTAAAAATACAATACATACTTATGGTTTCATAAATTATTATTTGAGATTATTAATATGATTTCATATATTGAATCAACCAACATTGAGTAGTAGAATGTTTTAATATGATATTTTTTATAATTTTTATAATAATTAGTTGCACTTAGTTAGATTTATGTGCAACACTCTATTGACATAATATGTCATTATTATTGCTTATTGTTATTGAGCATTTTTTTATTACTATAGCGTCTAAAAAATCAACATTCAAACTAGAAACTACAAGGATTTTTCTACCTAGAAGTCCACTTTAAAAGGTCATGGTTCAAAAGCCTTACTAAGGTCCCTTGCTTAGTAAAGAAAAGCCCTCTTTTGAAAACCTTGTCTTTTGGACATAGTGTAAAGTGAGAAGAATCCATGAAATGAACCAAATCTTTTTTTATTATAAGTCTACAAATATCAATCTAAGTTTATTTTTTTAAACCACTTCTTTAAACTAGATCCAATAAAAATTCTAAAATATAATACTATTTATGCAATGTTAGAAAAAAAATGCATTCCATCTCATTTTTATTTTTTGTTTTCTCTTATGGCCTTTGACTTATTTCTCTAAATAAAATGCCACTTTAAATTTTCTTCTGAATCTCAATTAATTAAAAAAAATTAAAGTTGAGGCCTCTCACCTTGTCTCTTAATTTTAAAATGAATACTGAAGGAGATATATTTTGAAAACAATATTCATCCAAATAAACAATTTAATAAGACTAAAAATTTCAAATGTGGTTGCATAAGTTGATAGACTAAGTATAATAACTACAGCACAAGGAGAGGTAGAGCAGCTTAAGTAAAGTAAAGAGAAAAAAAATTGAAAAAACGAAAAAAATGAAAATTAAAACTTCTTTAAATAATGTGGTGGTGTTAAGAAAGTTTGCATGCAAAGTAGATTGTAAACAGCAGATGCCACAGGATTTAGTTTATTTAGCCAGCAAATTTTTTTAATCTAAACTTGAGCCTTGCAGATAATAATTTTTCAATGAGATTATATCTTTAGGGCTTAGTTTGGAGATTGTTCTATAGAACCCCATTGCTCTTAAATTACCAAAATAAAAAATAATATAAAAAAGCACACCAAAATAATTTGGACCTACCGAAATTCATGGTTTGCATCAATATCTACTACAAACACTCACCCTCCTTTGCTCTCAACTTGAGAATAATTTGTGTTTGATCCAAATACATGCCAAGTTTTAGAGTATCACTCCCAGTCCTATTTTATCTCACCCACTATTTTATCTGTATGCTAAATTTGTAGTAAAGACACACTGGTTGCTATGGCAATGGCCACCAAACTTCCAACAACAAAACCTGTGACCTGCAAGTGTGAAAAGCAAGTGGGCCCTTTCCTCAATGGAGCTCTCCCACAATCTATTTAGGTTCAGAAAAGAACTGTATACAGCCACCAAATTCATATGATTCATTCAATTCAATATTCAGGACTCATTGAATCCTCACAACAGTATCTGTGCAGATGGGTGTGTCAGAGACTCAAAGGTCACCAGGTGGCTGCTACTCCGGGGGATGACCTTAACTATGTAAAATGCTCTTGCATGATCCTCCGCTCTTGCAGTCCAAGTCTGTAAAGTCGACCACCCAATCCCAACCACTAAAGCAATTTATCATACCTGCAAATATGGGTATGACAAAATAAATAAATAAATAATAAAAGTAAAAATCCCCATGTAGAGAAATAGATTTTAGAAGGATTTCATATTTTTATACATTTTTTTTTTCTAAAAAAAAATACTACAAATTTTCCAACTGAAGATTTGGTTGTCATAAACTCATCATGTAGGTTACCCTAATTCCCACCAATGATTGGTTACAAAATTGAGAATGCTTGATTCCAACTGAGCACTTTGAGTTGGCATGAAATGACCCAATGGTGCCATGGAGTTGAGGTGAAATGTGCACTAAGTAATATGCAACCGTAAGGTGTTAGAACTGATCGGGTGGTTCATGTCAAGTTGGTTGGAAATAGACCACCCTGAGCAGTGAAAATGGGGGGCTGGTCGAGAATGGGTCGTCTACCTTGGAGTGTATTGCAAATGCCAAAAGACTGTTTGAAAGCACTCTTGTCTAGAAGACAATTGTCCACAACCAGCATGTACAAAACTGCAGCATCCAAAATCATGACACAACAGTCCTTGTTGTATTTACTTGCGAGGGTGCAAGGATAACATTTTCATGAAATTTCAAACACACATGAATGGTTTGTTGTACAGTAACTTTCCAAATAGAACAAAAACTACATTGAAATGTTCAAATGACAAGATGAAAGATTGTTACAGACTTGTTGAATCAGATTTCTTTTATTTTCATTTCTTTTTTAAAACTTTTTTTGACTTGATTTCTTCATTGTTTGCTTGTCAAATTGGCTGTCAAATAAAATTCTGAGTCACTGTTTGTACTCTTGTGATCTCACACCATATTTTGTGACAAGAATTGTAATCAAACCATTACAAAAAGAAATAACCACTGGCCTACATCCCACATGTGTATGTTATGATTCATACTATCAGCTCAAAAACATAAATAGATATTATGAAAAAAAAAACATAATGGGCTTCTAATGTGAGAAAATAAATGGAAGTGGAGTTTTTGTGAATGGAATGTTGATAAGTAGTGTATGTCCCTGCACAATAAACATGGTTTGTGCACACAAGTAATTTCACAATCTCTCATTCAATGAAGAATATTATAGGGATCTATTCTATTCCTTTTGCTTTTTTCTTTTAACGTTGGAATGGTCATCATCATTATAAATGTTGCAGACCACTGCATGACATGCCACATCTGCACAGAGTATGATTGTCCATCACCACACACACAAAATAAATGGAAATATGAAAAGAAAAAAACAAACAAGCAGTTCATTAATCACACATACTCATAAATGCATTGAGTATTCAATGGTTTTATTTATTTATTTTTATGTTCATATGGCCACAATTCCAACAACACTGCATAGGAGTAGATGATAATGCAAGTTAATGTGAATGCAAAGTGGTTTCTATCAAAGATGGAACGTTTTTACAAATCAGAGGCTATTGAATGAATTAAACACCATTCTTACAGCTATACACCTTGCACTTTAAGAATCTACTATGGAAAACCTAATCATATTCAAACATACATAGAATAGTTATGGCCAAGAGATGAAATTGTCCTCTAAGGCTGCATTCTGTGGCAAACAATCAGCTAAACAAAAAATCGAAGAAGGATGAACAAGCAGACCAATCAGAATACATATTTTCCTTTCCTATTCATTGAAACAAGCATCTATATGAACTTTTGCTTCTGTTTTTTTTTCCTGAAAAGCTGCGATCTTTTCACTCTCTTTACTGTGAGGATTGCTTTTGAAACAAAACCCAGAAGTCAACCAACATTAGTTCATTACAGTGAGTGGATATGCGCAAGATTTCATGTCATCAAGACAATGTAAGACAAGCTGATAAAGAGACGAGAGATCTTTTTTCCTATAGTAATCTGCTTTCTTGTGAAGAGATAGTAGTTATGACTGGGTCACCCACCCACTGGCACCATAAATGTATGCCCTCTCCCTCAGTCACGCTGATCTGCTGTGCTACGTTATATCCCTCCATGAGAAATTTTCACTCTTAAGATTGCTCACCATTGCTCTAGGTTCACAGTGTCGGAGGCAAGTGAACCCAGAGGATTATTTCTTCTTTTGTGTTTGTTGTCGCAGGAAGTGTTACAGGGTCTATCTACATCGGTCCGCTGAATGAAGTACTGGATTTGAAGTGACTGTGCTCTCGACTAACAGTTGGGTTATACCCAAACTTGGCTTTTCTGTTTATTCTGGGCGATGCTTTTGAAGTGAGAGAGATTGTCAGTGGGACATTCGCTCTATCTGGTGAGAAGCTCCCATTCGACTATCAGTTCGTTACAGCGTCGCAGGACTATGAGTTGATAATTCAGGCATAGGTTTGGTTTTTTTTTCTGGGGGAGTTGCAGCTCGTTGTTTTGACGTGAGAGGTGTTTACGATTGTTTGTAGGATCGTGGCATGCTGAATTGTAGAAAGCTGGAAAGTGGAGGATGGTTTTGCTACGTGCTCGTCTCTCCTGATTTTCTTGTGTAGGGAGCTCATACGGGGTATGTCTCCATGCTCTGTACTTCTTAGTACGTGTATTAGATTTCACATGTTTTGGTGTAATACTTAGCTCTTGAAGGTAACTTATTATATCATTCTGTTCTCCTCGTGGAAATTCCGCACGTAGAATGGGTGTGATAACGGAGCTTACACAGTGTTAGATGGTTGTGTATCCCATTGAGCGGTAAGGAGTAGGAACAGCCGTTCTGGATGACTAAATTACACGGTTGATGGCGAACAGTTGGACCTCCTCAAACGACCGAGGCCTAGCGCTGCAAACTGACAGTTTCTCAATAGTGCTAAAACTGTATGAATAGCTTTAAAACTTGTGGGCAATTTTATAATTAAACCAGGATTAGGTACCGAGATTGGACTAAAAACTCTAGTTCTTTCACAATAGCTGACATCTGCCAACACAACGAAAACTGTTACTCAAACGTACCCAGTCGAGTCAGAAATTATACTGGCTGTAAGAGAATAGGTCGAGTGATTTACTCAAATTTCCTTCAGTGTGTGGTTTGATATTACAATAGACCCTCCGAGTCTACCACATGTGGAGTGACTACAAAAGATTATTGCAGATTTCACATTTTTTTTGCCAGCGGTTCCAATTGGAATAATTTGCTACGACTATACATCCGAAGACTCGGTTGGAGAGTGATAGGATAATTCATGAAAGCGACAAGGCTTATCCTAAGTGAATCAGTCAAGGTCCCGTGTAGAATGTTTCGGAAGCTAATCTTGCGTGGTCAGCAATTGATGTAGACGATGGCAGCAACAGCTACTGTGCTGCTTATTGGGCAAATACGCACTTTCAGGTCTCTAGTACATATTGATGAAGTACTGGAACACTCCTGAAGTGCTTCAAACATATGAGGAAGCATACTTGGATTCCAGGACTTAGATGAATTTTTTGAATCATCCTTTTTCCAGGAATCACCGCAAGATTTTTCTATTGTTGGGGTGACATGGGGAAGCGATCAATCATCTTGACTGTATTGCTGCTGTTCTTGGCATCTGCTGTAGTGTCAGCTCAGAGGCTAGAAGCCAATGAAGAAATAAGCTTCTTAGGTTTGACAACATCTTTCGCTCTTTTTTAAAACCTTTGAGATCGTGGAAGTTTGTGTTGGTATGGAGACGTTTGTGTGTTGTGTAAGAGTATCCCAAGGGTTCTGTGACAAATTCTCTTTCCTAAACTTGAAAATCTTAATTCAATTGTTACTACAGTTGAGTTGAGCATTCGTTCTTTGGTGCTGTTTAGAAGTCTCTTAAGCGTTGTATTCTGGTTCGCGGAAGATATAGAATTTGACTTTTCAATTTCGTCACAGGAAAATTATTTTCAAATGATTCAGCGTGCAAGGATGTGGATTGTCAGCAAGGGATCTGTTATCCAAACGACAATGCATTACTTAGTATCTTGTTTCCTTACAAGTGTCAGTGCTATCAAGGCTGGGCTACTTATGGACAGCTTGTCGGCTTCTCAGATATCCCATCACTTCCCTGCAGCGTTCCAAACTGTAAGTGAATTTGCACTCTTTGCATGAGACATGTGTATGGACCATCCGTCTCTTCAAGGTTGCTCACGAATTTAACCTTCAAAAAATTTGAGGATGTGCATCTACACTTGCAGGCTCTAGTGTGGTGTAGAGATTTCATATTGCAGATTTCTTTGAAATTTGTTGTTCACAATGCAATATGTGACTTGTAACAGGTTCCTTGAATCTCGACTGCGCTGCAAAATCTCCTGCTCCAGCTCCAAGTACTATTACACCTGTGACCTCTGCTAATACGTCTGGTGAGCTACCATTCAATCTTCTGTTCATGTTCGAACTTGCAGTGGACTGAATAAGCTGGTGATGTACAACCTGCACCTATTTAAGCTCGAGTATTTTCTGATTTCCCATGACATTGCTTGTTACAGCATGCTTGGTGCCTGGCATTTGTGGACACGGAAAGTGTGAAGTCATCAACACTAAGGACAGACTCTTTCCTACATTTAAGTGTGTGTGTGACCTTGGTTACGCAAATGTGCTCAACATGACTGCTGGATTTTGCGTCTCTGATTGTAAGATAACATTACCTTCTGGGTTCTCGTATTTTCAATTTGATTTTTCCATCTTTCTCTGTGTAATGAGGTTTGTCATTGCTCAACTGATTTTACCTTGTGATCATACAGATAGTGTGCAATACTCGTACATTTCTCTGCATTCCTCTTGCAAATATTCCAATGAGGCCTACGGAGTGGTCTGTATGTTCGCTTTTTCAGTAAGCTTCAGTCCGCAGGTTCATAGTGCAAGGTTTCTGTTGGCAGTCTTAAGAAGTGTTGAAATTAATTGCAGGTGAGATTAACGGAGATTGTAAGAACTTGAATATTACGCTACCTGGGTTAAATCCACCTCCACCCCCAAACACACCTATGACACCAGCGGACCAAACAGGAAACGCAGGTACACGTCCAGAATCTTCTCCTCCTAGGGCGTCGGAGTCTGTACAAGGGGGCTCCAGTCCGTCTTCTAGTTCAGGTCACTCTCTTTCCGATGTCTGATTACAGTACTAATCGGAACTGCTACCATGTATTTTGATTGCTCAAGTACGCAGTGATGTACATCACATGGGTCGGTTTGTTTAATGTTGGCAGGTCGCAGCGTCAAGGTGAATACTATTGGTTTCCATATCGCAGCAGCTTTACTTGTGGAGCGAGCTTTACTGAGTAAACTCTTCTGATCTGCGACATACACACTCTTGTGGTACGCCACATTTTTGTCACTTTTCACAATCCAAAATGGCGGATACACTAATGCATCAGTCTGTATTGGTTGAAATTAATAGCTACTGAGTTGAAATAAAGCTCAATTCCAGGTTGAAGTTTGATCGGACTTTCTAAACACTGAAAAGTTGGCGCAATTTTAAATATGTCCTTATGACACGTTCTGTCTGTCACAAGAAGCAATGACACGTTTTTTTTGCACAACTTCTTTCATGTATGGAGTATTACGATAATAACACAATACGTCTGAAACACACCACTAAGCCTGATGGAGTAGACGCCATAATTTATGTTGCATTCTGCTGTACGCAATCTAACCTCTGAACAGAATGTTCTGGCCAAGCAACACATCGGAATACTATTTGTAGCCTTGAAATTGCATCAGGTCATATCCAAAAAAAAAAATCAGTATGACTACAATCAGAAACATCTATCAATCAACTCCAAAGTGGCCGAATCTGACGTGCAGCGACCATCATCACATTGTAGAGTACAATCAGGAAGCTCGACTGCCTTCTCAGAAAGTAGCCAGCGTAATTGACTATAATATATCTTCAGTCTCCATTGTGATGAAGACAGGTGTATACCACAGCGAACAGACCCTGCTTACTGCAGTAAAGCGAAAATAGTTCCAAACCGCTGTTCAGGCTCAACAACATGGCATGTAGACAACCAAGCAAATACAAGAAAACTTCTGCCACATATAACATGCATCTATAGCCCGGATGGTTGGACAGAGAATGTGACTCCATTTGAATGTAAGCTGACAAACAGTTGCTGCTACAGAGTTTGCTGACAGCTTTTCGAAACATCCTCCATGCAATTCACCGTGGATAACTTTTACGTCAGTGCTCGTATTTGGTATAGCCGATTCTTACAGTTTTGCCTCTGATTTACGAGGATCAAAAGCTTAACACCAGTCCAGTGTGAACCCCAACGGCTTCTCCTCTTCCCAAAAGGCACCCCCTGCCGCCGCTACCTACTCCTCCCCACAGAGGATCTGCCAAACTGCTGAGCGAGCTAAGCAGGGCCATCAGTTTCCTCTAGGGAATGCGGTTCCTAAACGACTGTACTGCACAGTCTGATTCTCATATTCGATACTTCCTTCCAACCCCCGAAACCCCTTAGTCTGCAATTAACTGAACCATTTCCTCGAGATTGATAAAATTTTAATGCTAATTCCTTCAACGACAATGACAATCGGAGTTTGTGCATCTCGGGGAGAACAACAAAGGACGCAACCGCACTCTATCTTCAGGTAGAAAGGCAAATTCTTCCTCCACCTCGTTAAGACGTAGGCCAATGCACAAATGCAAACACCATCCTCACCTTTATCACCTCCCAAAACTACGAAACCTCTGTGGATAAAAACTTCATCAAGGTAAGGTCTGATTTTCAGAGCGCAAATTTAGCAAACAGCGCCTCCAGCTCGGCAGCCTCCGCATCTGATCGTGCCTAATCAGGGAAAGTTGTAGTTCAGTTAATTGAATGATTTCGGTCTTGTTTCGTCTACCTCTCCGTGTAACAAACATCTCAAATGAGAAAAGTATAAAAAAATAAAATAAGGTTTCTCTAAAACTGTGGGAGAACAAGGAGACGATCACCTTGGATAAGAGCTCAAGCATTTTATTGAGGACTTTTAGCCTGTGTATAGCATACGCACTCGAGGCCGGCAGGCGTTGCACGCGCTCCACTTCCAATTTAACCAGCGCAATCTTCTGTGCGTCATCCATCAAGCCAGTTGGGGCTGCACCAGACCCAGCACACCGCAACAAGAACTTGAGTTGCACCACCTCAATTTCTGCGCACGAGCTCACCTAAGCTCCTACAAAAAACCAAGACCGCTACTTATAAACCCAATACACAATTCTTCGTTGATTATCTAAATTCGAGCCGTGAGAAACCAAACCCTACATCATGGATTCCACAATCACATCCACCGAATACCGATCAATTTGAAAATTCCCTAAAAACCTAAACCTCTTACTACCAAACAACTTATCATATAAGCAAATCCCAGAAGAAATCGGCGGCAACCCAGAACCCAACACATCAGTGCAGACGTCAACTCCCTGCGGAAAATTTCCCGGGATCTATGGAAGGAGGCATTTTTCGGAACGAACAATTTGTCCGGCAGACTAGTTGTAAGAGCCACAACGTTGGCCATCTCATACTCATGCAATGTGGATGTAAAATATGATGTTCAGCAGCCACATTTATTAATTTAGATTTCTTGGAACAGTAAACACAATCACTTCCCACAAAGGTTATTAGTACAAGTTTGTCAAAATATTAACATTGCTTCCATTTTTAAGTTGATTCTTTCAGTCTGTTAAAAAATGAACACCAGTACCACACAAACTAAGTAAAAGTGATATAAAATAGATTTCAGAATCAGGGTCAAAAAACAAGTAGTTTAGTTTTGATAGTATTTCAATCTGTATGTGTTTTTTCTTCTTCTTGCAATTCTGAATGTATATAATATGAAACATGAGTTTAGTGTCACATACGAGTGGCAAGTAACGAGTTTATGCAAATGAATAATATGATACAAGCTTTAGGACGACTTGACCGTGATGTCGTATTTATATGTATATTTACATATGAAAATATTCATATGTATATTTTCATATGTATCCTTGGTTTAGAATTTGTGTATTGATTGGAGTTTACATTCTAAATATCACTTGATGCATCACTTTCTCAAAGAGGGGTACAAGCTGCATTGCGTTAACTAAGCTTCATTTCTAGCAAGTCCTATCCACTTGGCTCAAAATTTTGATGGTAGGGCTTGTCGGCTCCAGGTTTGATCGTTCGCCTCCAATTCTGTGGAACTTTTAGGTCGAAACTGCTCAAATCACATTGTCGACTGTAATCGTCAAATGCTGTACAGGGTTCAAGCATAACTTGAAATATTTTGCAGCCATTCATGGACGGATTAAAACGCCTTGGCGGGGTTCTTCCGCCCCTTCACCTTGATTTTGCATTAAGATTCCGTAAAAGACCGGATCACAGCACTCGGTGAAGAGGCAGTGAGAAACTCCTCACTCCAAAATGACCACAAATTTGTCTAGTTTAAAACTAAGTCATCCGTCTTAACTTAGTGATGTATACTCGTGTCGGTTCCATCTTCCGTTGCTTGCTTGAAGTTGCTGCAGTCTTCGATATCCGGGGTGCAGAAGTTACTAGAGCCGGACATTGAGGTATAGTAGAGATATTTTTTCTCTTCCATCCCCTCATCGATTAGAGCTCTATCAATGGCACTGACAACAGTTGGCCCAGTCGACTCGTTCTGGACTACTTGATGAGAATCTGCACCATCCTCGCACATCTCATTTCTTGAACTTTCATGACCGTTTCCAGGAGCAGCAGGGTTTGCAGTCTTTTTAGTCGAGGGGCTCCTCTCCAAAGAGACGCTGGCGAGTTGCTGATCAAGTCCACCGGTATCTGACAGATCTGTGAAGGGCGGCAGGGCTTCGGGAGCACGAAGCACCTTGAGGGCTTTCCGGCTTCGAATCTTCTTGTGGGAACGAACTTTAGGTGTCTGAAAAGACTCCTCTCCCCTCTTCGTCCACAGCTCTTGATAATTTATGTCTTTGGGTTTTCGGGTAGCAGTTGGCTCCATGGGTAGCGCTCTTACGTTATCATCATCGTGCTTTGTTGTTGTTGCAGGGATGTCACCACGCTTTGGATGCGTCATTAACTCTGAAAAATGTCCCTCACCTAAAGGACCATCGTGTTGAGTGAGACTAGATTCGTTCGGTCGAACTGGAGAATCTGCAGCGACAGCTTGAGAAATATCTTCAGAGTGGATCACAATGGTGCATTCAGAATTACAACGATCCTCACATTGAGGCAACATCCCCAGGTTCCATGACTTGCCAGCTCTGGTACCACTGGAATCCTGCATTGTCCTTGGCAAATCCTTGATGCTTGAAACTTGAAGCTCTTTACGCAACGCAAGCGTATTTGAGGCGATGGTGGTGCCCGTTCCGGTTGCAACAGCTTGCGCTAAGGCCACTTTCTCGTTTGCAACCTGCCCAACGGTCCGGTTGCTTCGCCTGCGCCTACGCTGGAATAATGCTGTTGCGAACGCCCTTCGAATCACTGTCACCTGCCAACGCAGTACTTGTCTCTTGAGAACTGCTCCCTATACGATCAGTTTAGAGATATGAAACGCATGAAAAATTCGTGGTAAACCTACTCCTCAAATCTAGACCTTTCACTAGCTTTAGAAGATCAAGGCAATTGGTCTGACCTGCGTGGCTGACTCGTCACGCTCAACTTGCAAAGCGGCAAGTGATCTCCGCAAGTCCTGGCATTGCTGTTGAAATCTGCACACCACACACTTACGTATAGTTAGGATGATGCACGATCCAACTGAATTTTTAAAAAATCTCAGCACAACTCAGAGAGAACCGAGATTTGAGAACTTGTTTCAGTAATAAAGATAGTGGTGCGTGAAAGTGGAGTAGGTGCACACGTGAGAGGGCGCACGTAGAAGCGCAAAGTGATGGTATCCTCATCTGGTTGGAGGTAGCCTTCCTTCTCCAGAAGATCGATCCTGAAGAACTGGTAGTAACCCCAACACGCACCCACCTGATCACAAAACAGGTCACTAAAAAATGAGTTTCGACCTTAATCTTATTATCTTGTGTGTTCGATGTGCTTCAAGATCATTTATAAAGGATCATACATGATGATTCAGAATACAAAGCCATGCACTAAGACTTGCCTCATAGTCGGAAGAGAACTTGCGAACGATGCGCTGGTTTGGACGAGTCTGGTGAAGGAGCTCTATACCATACTCGTAAGTTACCGCTTCATTTCCGCCATCTACCATCTGATGCACAAGTGATCCAAGCCAAGATTGCCAGACGATTACACACCCCTCATTGTTTGCACAATGTTGTAAAGTCAGTGGAGTACTTTGTTAAGCTCTATTTGAATTCTCGTGAAAGGATTGAATTGTCAAGGAAAACTACAATACCCTAGTAGTATCCGTGTGACTTATGATTAGAGACTGACCTCCAGAAAGACAGAGAGATGAGTACCCAAAGAAGCGCCGCTGCCATTTGGGTACACCTGCAACAGGAGCACATTATAGCCACGTGAGTTCAACCAAGACATGTTTGATGAAATTCTCCAGTTTCGTGGACAATTAAACAGTTGGTGAACAAATTTCAACTGAAAATAAAATGAAAATCACCTTCAGTCTCCACGTAATACCTGAACCACGGATGGGCTGCACATACACAAATACTGAACACCTTAGCAAGGACAAGATATATCTTGGCAATGACAGAGCTTTTCAGACGACAGAGTCTTCTAATCCATTTACAAAGTTTAGATAGCCTGTCCTGGCATCGAAGATATTTTGCATATTGCAAGCAACACGAATTAACGAGCATAAACCCACAAGATCATCAACAATCTTGGCAGGAGAAATGCAGGGGAATACACATACCTCACTGTACACAACATCTTTGCTCGACAAGGCTTCACTGGAACTCGGAGTGCCACCAGGAGAGAAAACAGAAGATCTGGGTAGGGTGATAGTTTCCTTGTATTTCTTCAAAATGAGTTCTCCATGCTCGTACGAGGGAACAACCTGCAATACCGAAATATCTGATGCTCTCGCATTACAGTACATCAAAGACTCCTGGAATACTCTACAAACGCCATGATTTTTTGCAAACGAGATATAAAAAGACAATGAAGATCATGGATGAATTAAATAAGGATACCTCTGACGTAAATTCAGGAGGAATAGGTGTGCACGATATATGCGACAAAGTGCGCGTTCGGATGTCCTGAAGATCCAAAGCGCCACAAAAGTTGATTCTAGGAAATCTTATCTACAATAAAATATCATCTTACTTGAACCCATTTAATAACTTGACACTCAACGATGTTTTTTGCTGAAAGCCATCAGTAACAATCAACGGAACAAAAGCGACAGAGCATGATAAAGACCAACCTGCAGCATGCGGCTCATGTTAGGTTCTTGCGCTATGAGGTCACTCTTTGGAATACTGTTCAGCTGTTGATCTAACTCGTGCAATATTGTGTCCAGAAGCTCCATCTGTATCCCAATGAATAGGTGAATTCCACTATTGTTCCAAACACGTGAAAAAGAGTCTAGATATTCCGCATCATACCAATTGACGACTCTTGATGTTCAAGACAGCTAAAAGGCAATGGCGACACAAAATCATAAGACTATGACGAACAAAGACTTACGGGAGCAATTGCCTGAAAAGAAAGCATTCAATGAAAATAAATATTTGGGTCCACCAAAACGATTGCTTACTTCTTGAGTCATAGAACCCTTTTGTGCGAGTAATGCCAGTAGTTTACATTTGAGCTGCTCTTCAAGTCGAGACTGCATTGCACCAACCATCAGTTTCTTCTGCAACATCTCCCAAAGCGTGTGGAGAAAAAATCATCTACAAATAAAAAGCTAACAATACTAAATCCGTAGCTCGAGTTATAGGAAATCCAACAATTCACCTGCATCCTTTTAAAAGCCATTTGAAGCTCTGCAGCAGATTCGTCCTTTGCCTGCCAGTAAATGGAAAAGAACATCCACGATTCAGGGGTCACTGATCTCCAATGTTTAATAAGATTATATGATACTATATGTATAAATTTTCATTGCAATCTATGAATGGTTCACCTTAAGCACAGTGTCGATGTTTTTTTCAACTGAAACCACGAGAGCGGAGAGTTCCTTCTGGCGCTTGCGTAGCCCGGCAGCTTCCATGCGAATTTTCTTCTTGTGACGCCCATAGGCAACACTCAGCTTCTCAAACGTGTGATTTCGATGATCCTATGAAGCACATTGAATGGGTTCTCCAGATTTTTACTTGCAATTCGGCGAAAAATAAGTTGAACACCAAGTGCTGGTTGCTACTTAAAACAGAGAATATTAATCCCAAAATTTAAGACAAGGAAAGTACCTCAATCAGGACCGCACAGTCTGGGCATACGGGGACTGAGCATGTCGTGCAGAAGTAGAGAAAGGGGCTGTCATGGGCCGGACAGTACTGCTATTTTCCCACCAATCCAACCACACCAAAGTACGCCAAATCAGATAACATCAACGCTACTACGACTAGATACAGAAATCAATTATGCATGAATGTACTTGTGAAATGAACGGTTATGAAGTTAAATATGTTACAGAGTCGACAAAAAGGGAAGCTTTAATACAAGGTTTACTCCCAAGTCCATAGGATCAGAATAATGTGTAATCATCCAGGAGAGATTGAACAAAAAGTTAGAGGAAAAGCTGGGCCAACCTTTTCTATTGAACTGTCACCTAAATTCCCTTGAATCTTCTCAACTTCCTACAGTACAACATAAAAATAATGCTATCAGGTCTTCACAAAAGTGCAAAGATAGGACAAACATTTGAAAGACATTGGTTGACTATTTTCCACATGCAAAATACGATTTGCTGCATGATCAACTGTAGCCTTTACGTGAACTAGAGTATATTTACCGAGGAAATCTCAGAGATAAATCGACAGCTCACGAGTTGCGATAGAAGGAGGGGCGCACGGCAGTGTGGGCACTCTGACTTTTGATCTGTGAGCCATCTCTGCGAATAGAAAGAAACAAATTAACATCTAGAAATTTGGTAGTGGTAAAGTTGTTCCACAATACGATGATATTAAGTTCCATTCTGGAGGCTCTGCAGACACCTCTGGATCATGACGGCACTGACCTTGATACACGACTGGCACACCAGCTTGGAACAACATGGACACAGCTGGGCATCCACAACCTGAAGAAAACAGAAAATTGTGAGACTATGTAGAATAAGAAGTTTCTTTTTTTCTTTTTTTCTTTTCAAAACTCATTACACTTGACTTGGGTGCTGGCTATTCATTTTCAAAGAACTTGTCTTGAGAATCTTGCTCTGAGTTCATCTTTTTATTATTTGAATCACAACAGAATCATAAGACGCAACGATGATACTCTAATGCACTTCAAGAAAAAATCATAGCCCGAACCTAAACAACAAGACAGACGAGAGATGGATCTGCTCACCTTTCCAAGACAGATGAAGCACCGAAAAATTTCTGCCAATGTCGACGATGAGTCATTGACGTTGCCAGCAAATGTGGATGTGGCACCATGACAAGATACAAAATCTACCGCTCTTTGGTTTCCCACTTTCTCATTGTCGGAGGCCTCTAAAGAAACCGGTTCCCTGACATCAACCGATGGACCTGTTGCGTTTGTAAGGTCGACAATGTCCTGAAGCTCTGTCGCCTGGGAAATTTCATGTAGCTGCTCGTTTTGGGGCAGAAACACTTGCTGTGATACCGCAGAAGTGGCGGGGTGATGCACGGGCGTGGATCCAACCAAGAAGAGCCTCTGCAAATGCGCTTGAAACTCAACATGAGATTTCAAGTTGCACGAAGCAATCCGAACAAGAGAAAATAATAGCGGCCAGGCTACCCAGTCAGTCCCTAATCAGGAGTTGGGAAAGTTCTCAATCAAGTAGAGGTCGAATCCATTATGACCACAATCGAAATTACCCGTTCGCCTTAAGTCAGGACGAGCACACTATAAAGGCGCCGTGATCTAAGCTCTCCTTAAAATACAGCTCTCTCTCTCTCTTTCTCATTCTCTCGCGCCATCGCCACGTTTAGAGCGGGCGGAAAAATCAGATCAAGACGGCGGGATTTTTAAGGTAGAAAAAAGTAGTGAGCGGTCTGCAACGGAAAACTAATTCCACAATTGCCATTGTACGCTGTAATTCTAGTTAGCATCCATTCCGATCTTTGGTACCAAAAGCGCCCATTGCCAGAGCCATAAACCCTGGTCAGCCAACTTGGGTTTCTGTAACGTTCGCTTGCGCACCAAACAGTTTCGGTTACTCAGTCCCTCGAACTATGAACATTGAATTGCTAAACAAAAAAGATATTGGAGAAATGTTCCAGAGTAACAAAGGTGTCCTCCGAAATCGAAGCACCCCAAGAAAAGATATGGCGACGGAGGTATACCTGGACGGGTTCACTGATGATGTTTCCTCGCGAGTGGTGATGGCTGCTGCTGCTCCAGGCGCCATGGGATCGAGGCCGGTGCCTCCCCCGGCTGCCAAAAAAAAAAGAACCGCAATCTGTGCAATCGTAGTCCGGAGCGCGGGTTGGTGACACTGTGATGATAGGGCCAGGGACCAGGGGATTGCAAGTACTGCTGTGGCTGGAGCTGGAGCTTCTGCTTCCACCGCTTCCTCGTCGAATGGTAGCCGCATCCATTGCGACAAACACAATCTAACTTGACGAGGCGAGTGTGACACAGACGGACGCTCTTAAACGGATATGGACATCCCCATTCCCAAGAGTTCTACTAAAAGATTAATGCACATCCATGGCTGTGCAAAGGATCGTTTAACCCCTTCTTCTCTATTCAAGGGAATTAGAAAATGAATACAGCAATAAAGATTTTCTGACTAAATCGGCTGTGGTGGTGAATCGGCGCTGATTCAAACAAGAGTTGCAGCTAAGACGACAACGTAAATGGTAATGCAACCAACAAAGAGAACCTTCTGTGGTCTATGCCTATTCTCTCAGAGTGCCACTCTTGATCATGTAGCTCCTCTCCATGCTGCGACAACTTGGGTTTTATGAATGCGAGCCTCATGGAGGACAAGAGCTCTGACATGATAGCATTGCAACAGATTATCTTAATAGTCTCACTCTGTCTCTCTTGCTCCGAAAAACCTTTAAAAACCTCAAACTGTAATCCTCGACTACAGATCCACGATCAACACCATAGGTTCACTCCGCCAACCTCATACGCACTACATAATCTGTAAGGACCCCACTAAGCGGATACGCCCGAAGGTGAACAGGATGCGACTTGGGTTATTTGGACAATAGAAGTGGCTCACGCTGGAGGAATCGAGACCGAAATGTGGCATGTAGCTGTGGAAAGCTATGATACTATTGTGACCAGCGGATCGCATAGCTTGCTTGCTTTTCAACAAAATAGAAAAAGCAGACGCTGACTCCACCACAGTAGCATCAATCAAACTCAACTGCCTCATGGCTTAATCTTCCTTTCAGGGTCCGAAATCAGTTGTCGTCAAAGACAACTAGCACTAACAGTGAATAGCCATGTCGCCTTGTGGGCCGCAGCCACCCAAAGACTGCACGGCGCTCTGGTCGCAGAAGTACAGCACATGGACAGCCTGCCTGATTTAGAAAACAGTAATCACCCTATCCGGGAAATCCAGCAGTCTCCTTTGTCGCTGTAACTGCATCAAAGCATACTCTGAGGGACCCAATCTCTGCAGATTCTCCTCTCCGATTCCACATTGTTGATTCTACCACCACCAGTGGGAAAGCACCCGAAGACTAATACTCCTAATCACCCCCAAAATCAGCAACTCACAAACCAGATGAGGACGATGACTTCATCAAAGTCAAATCGAACCCTCGAGCCCGGTCCAAACTAATAACAAGTAAGAGCAAGCATTTACAAGGATTCTGCTAGAATCTAAACTTTCTAATCTGGTAGTTAAACTCCTGATGGGTTATAATATTCATATATTTTATAAGTCGAAGTGCATCCCAAGAGGCTCAATTTGGAACGCTCTAGTTGTCGTTGACGGCACCCGGTCATAAGTGATTCTCTCACTCTCTATAGCCTGACTCCCGGACCTAGAAAAGTGTAAAGTTTTTGGGGTTAATCAAATTCTCTCTCCATAATTTGGCGCTTGCAGCAATTCTCGCTTTGTTTCTTTTTTTTCTTTTCTTTTTTTTCCTTATCAATCTCCTGCTCATGTGGCCTTTTGATTTACTTAGCAATGGCCATGAATCTTTTCATGAAAGTATCATGAAATTTGTCAACTTGCCAGAGAGTCTGATGACAACGACACAACAGCCTACACGCAATGTATACATATGTTTGAGACTTAGAAAGTTGCCCAGAAAGGAAGGGATCTGACGCAACCTTCTCAACTCCTGGGAACTTTTTATTAAAAACGCACAGCCCAATCTTTCAAGAACCAAGTTTGAGCCCCAAAAAACCAAAATAAAACAAAATAAATACATAAAATCATAACATTCCAAGGGGCGCATGCGTGGATTGCAAAGGAAAGATGCTTCTCATCAAGATGAAAGCTGTGAAGTGAAGCGGAATTCAATTGCGATTGAGAGTCAAAGAGGTACTGGAAGAAAAAAACACACACACACACACACACACACACGTGCGAGGGGGTGCAGAGGTGATGAATGTGTGGAGGTGAGTACGTTGTGGCGATGGTGCGGAGGTGTGAAGCGAAAGCTATGACGTCGTCCTTGGAGCGTTGTCAGTCAGGTCGCAAGGGCGGACGCATCACAGTTATATCATGGCAAACTCCACACCGCCATCGCCGCTGGCTCTCTCGTCTTGCAATTCCTGCAACGAGCTCTGCTCACAAAACCTGCATCAGCTCTGCAATTCAGGCAACTCTGACTGCTATTTCTTTTACAAAACCTTCGTAAATTTCAGGTCAGAATCACGCTGACTTGAAATGCTCGCTTCATTTGTGTGTGTTTATATATATATATATATATATATAGATACACATACACACACAAATGATTCGATTCACCATGTCTACTGTGAATGAGAAATAGCCAATCCATTTCGAAACGGTACTTTGTAAGATTGAGCAATACAAAATATATATATATATATATATATATATATATTTTTTCTTTTCTTTTCATACTTTTCGTATTGTTACAGTGAAACCATGTTTTCACAGTACTTTGGTCCTGTGACGACTTTTCTTTGACCGTCGGCAGGATGATTTGGGTGATTAAAATGGAATGATATGCTCTGGATTGAAGATGGAGCACAATTAATAAACAAATTAAAACGATTTTATATCTGTCCTTTGGATTATATTTTGGAATTCATGACCTTTCATTGATTTATTACAATTTTCGTTATGAATTTGACTACTTCATATTTCTGCACATGACATAATTGTAACCAAATCTGATAAAACAATGACATGTAGGACATGTAGGGAAATATGTGCATGGGATAGGTAACTAAATTGTACCAGATAGACACAATAATCAAATGGGAAAAGCTATCATGGATAACTATTTAAATACATAAAACCAACAAATATATATATATATATATATATCTCTTTTTACATATATATATATATATATATATATATCTTTTTACATATATATATATATATATATATAACAATTACTTTAAACCTTAAAATTATAAAAAATTTACATCAATCTCTATAATTATTAATATTTTAACTGTCTTTACGTTTAACATTGGATTTATTCATTTATTTATTTATTTTGCAACCACATATCATTGTGTATATATATATATATATATATATATAATAAATTAATTGATAGGGAAGTTTAGGTGTAAGACAAAGACATAGAGAAGTTTTCTCATTGACCAAAATCAAAGCAATTGTTAACCAATAGAAAGCATTGCACAACCTACAAAAAGACCTCCAATTTATAGCTTTTCTACGCCCAACAACACGAGTTTCCGCTATGAAGGTGTGTGCACACATGCACACATGTACCTTTGTACACATAAATTCATCCATTTTGGAATCATCTTTTGCCTTCATTTTGGTGTGATTTTATGATTTTCATTATGGCGAGAGGGAAATAGAGGGAGCAAGCAAGCATATTCCAAATGAGGGAGTGAAATATGGCATATCCTGCATGAAAGCAAGAGCAAAGTGTAGAGAGCCCATGTTCCTTCCTTCTCTCAGGGCATGCAAAATTTGTGAGGGAGATGGGCAAACAAAGCCAAGCCAAGCCAAGCCAATCTGAGGGGTCCTGTAAGAGGACAACATCCCTGGCAGCGCCTACGTCCACATCAGCCATACAACAAACAGAACAGTTAAAAAAGCCAACACCTGCATGGCACCCGAGGGTCAAGTTCACGTGGCATTGCTGCTAATACCACAGCTTGGGATTAGCAACATGGATACAGCCCATTTGGTGCCTGTGTTAGCACTTGGGGCCATTTTCAACATGCTGGGCAGGGTTGGTGGGAATTGCTTTCTAAATGGGGAAATGGCATTCGTCAAGCAAGATGTGCATTAATGACACTTTGAAAAACAAGCCCACTCTGTGATCCAATTGTGTGAATGGGAAGAAGGGGGGGGGGAGTACCTTTTGCAGCTATTGCATGGGATTGTGGGTTTGTGGGTGCACATGTTAGTTGTTGAAGACTATTGTTAATTAAAAAAACAACAACATTAACTGCAACAATTGTGACTGAGTTGCATGACCTGCCTATTAGCCTTAATGAAGTTGTTGAACTGAGGAAATTGATGATGAAATCCTGGAATCACATCAAATTTTTATCTTTGCTGCACTGAAGTCGAAGTTTAGGAAATTGGGAACAATTCTTAGTGCAATGGACTAGGAAATGATACTATCATTAAAATTGCTGATGAGAAGGGCATTTATAAATATTTAGCTCTTCACCAGTGTCAAATTAGTCTCAACTTCACACAGAATCAATCTTTTTTTTTGGGGGGGGGGGTTTCTTCACAACAAGATTAGTCTGTGCAAACATGGAATCAACAAGAGCAGATTCTATTCTCAAGGTCAAGAGGGGTCAAGTCTCATTAAGATGGTGCAGCTATCAGATACATTAAATAAGAGAAGAAAAAATTAAAAAAAGAAATATAAATAAATCATTAATCCTCGATTGTGAATATTAGTGCAACCAAAGACAATAGTTGGAGAGACTTGATAGAATGGGACCCTCCACTGATGAAGGGTGCCAGTGGACCCACAAACTCTACTGTGCTCATCTCAGTAGACAAGCCACTCTATTCAACAATAAAATAAAATAAAATAGAAGGCACTCATAACCAAACAAATGTAAATGATTGGATGAATTTATACACTTATTTGATTTGCGTTCATTATTCAATGATTTCCTTGGTTCCACGATGCCTGCAGTTCCCTTTTCATTCATTGTGCGATTCATTCCATTAACTTTTATTTATTTATTTGCAATTCAGAATTCACTCAAGTACGTGTTTCCTCAAAATCAAGCAATTTTTTACATGAACTTAAATATTAAAAAACAAACAAACAAACAAAAACGACAACAACAACAACAACAACGACAGTGACAAAGTGCAACTAGAAGTAGAAGAAGAAGAGTTTATCAGAAGGAGAAACATAAAATGGTGGTCTCTTGGGATGTGCATGTTGTTTGTTCAATTATTCTCCATTGTTCATGTTTTATCTCTTTCTCTAATCTTTATGTAATCATAAGTTTAGTTTATGTATGATTTCTAATTCAAATTTGACTATATGCGAGAGAAATATATTTTTTTCAAATCCATTCTAGTTATAGCTTGATTCTAAGATTTGTAAACTTTTCAGTTACATTTTTCAAAAACTTATTTCAATGGCTTCACAAACGTCATCCTGTAATGCTTGAAAATTTATTTGACAAGTGGTCTTGAGATTTTAGAGGTAAATTCTGATGTTAGTGAGGAGTCCTTTAACAAGATTCAACATTCAAGAAAACAATTCTACAAATTGTGATGAATACATTTTGAGATTGTTACTGTTGTTATTATATTTTATAATAATTATTATTTGATTCTCAAATGTTTGCCATTCCTGTTATATTTTATTTTGTGTCATAGTTTATAAATCTTCATTATCTTATTTTGTTTTTAAAAACGTGTCACTAGTAATTTTAATTTACATGCAAAAAACGTATCATTGTGAATTATATGAGTACTGAAAAACCTCAAGCACTCCAATTGCCAAGTGTTTTTCTAATTCTTTTCCTACATTTCTGATATCAAAACCTCTCAAAAGATATAATGTACTATTTCTTAGGATATTTTTTAAAAATAAAAAATAAACCAATAATGTTGTATCCAAACTTATAACATAAAGTGTATATGTATGTATATGTATATTTTTCTTTTAACCAACATACCAATATTTTTGAATCTCTCTCACCATGAAAACTTCAAATCTACCCACTACGCTTAGAAGCAAGTGTTTGTTTGTTTTTGTTTTGTTTTGTTTTGTTTTGTTTTTTTTTTTTTTGTGTGTTTTTGTGTGTTTTTTTTGTGTTTTTTTGTGTTTTTTTTTTAATCTTTTTAAACCTACGTTTATACACCTTTGTTATTGAATTTGCCAAAAAGATTCATGAATACAGAAATTCCAATTTGTTCTGGCAGCTGATTTAACAAATTAAAAGGTGGTTGTAAGTGTGTATATATATATATATATATATATTTCAAACAAAAATAACTAATTATATGCATCAACATGATTTCTAAAACCCTCAAATACTACTCGCTTTTTGCCTTTGTTTAATTATGTTTATACTTAATGACAGTTTATACATACTACATTACCAAACTAAAACATTTGTCTGATTTTCTAAAAATATATTTACTAATCAAATTTTACTTTTAAAAAAGTGCACTTGAAAATCGTGGTTGAAGCTAGAGCATATATATATATATATACACACACACACACACAGATTTAAATTTCAAGTAGTTATTACTGTACTTGAATTGTAATTGCCAAAATAAATTCCTTTTTAATGGAAAAGAATTTATTATAACCTTAATGAATGCGAAAAAATAATAAAACAATTAAAGAATAAAACATACCCCTAAACTAGAATTGAATCATTTTCCTTTTATCTCATAAACAATCTCAATAATAAGATAAATAATGCTAAAGACTGAAATGATTTACAACATGCTTGGTGTGCTCATGTGAACACAAGCCTTGACCGTATGCCATGCCCATGATCTCCCTCAACAATTACATAAGTGGGCTTAGTCAATTGCAAGTACAACTTTGAATGCTGGACAATCAGTATCTTAAAACGCACTTATGGTCACAAATCTGTCAGTCTTGCAATTCATACAGTTCTTCAATTAATAAATGATATTAACAGAGCGTGCTTTAGTAAACCTTCACTCCAAAATGAATCCTTCATGCACAGTTTCAAATATGTGTGTAACTTAAGTTGGGTACAGTCTGGCAAGCTACAGAAAGCCAAAGTTGCAACAATCGAAGCAGAAAACTTTCTTCCTGCGACACCAACTCTTTGTCATGTTCTAGTCTGGAACCTTGAGAGCTGTCCTCTCAAATCCATTGATATGTTTGCTTCAAACCCAGTTGGTAGAAAATCGTGACTCAGTGAAAGAAAAAAACCAGCAGCACAATCTCTTACATCCAAAGCATTTGATCAAATACTGCGCTTGATTGAGTGAGAGACACGCAGAGAGAGAGAGAGAGAGAGAGAGAGAGAGAGCATTTACTCCAGTTTTTCACAGTATCTCATGAGGTGGTGGAATTGTTCCAGCCGGACAATCCAGTATTTATCCATTATTTTATCTGTTTGTATCTGTCGAAAACATACGCATTTCTTCCAATTTTCGGCACTCTCCGGAACACAACGCGAAGACTAGAGTTCATATACGGTTATTGAGATTACTACAGGTTTTTAAGCACAGTTAATGACCAGCTCCAGAGGGAAGGCACGACCCAGGTATGAAAAGCAGTGCCTGGGACGGGTGATGGTAGAAAACATCACCTGCAAACCATGCCAACAGTGCCGCTAAGTTTTAATTTCGTTTCGACAAATCAAAAAAAAGAGAAAGAAAGAAAGCTTTACGTGCAGGAACTCTGCTCGAAAGCCAAGACAGCCAGCCCCCCTTTTCCCGAGAAAGGTCGCGGATTGCACATCTGTTGGGATTCAGAAATCATGGAACTAGAGCCGAAGGTGTGTGTGTGTGTGTGCCCACCTTGTTGAAGGGGTCCACGGAGAGTAAGACGAAAAAACTGTGAAGATAGGCCGGTGATCATGGTGTACCAGCGCCCTCGTCAGTCACAGCTTCAACAGGCCATCAATGATATGTGCTGCGTGTATGTATACCCTGAGCATGGGACCGCGCACAGCTATCGACCTTAGGGATCAAATGTCCCGGAAACAACACCATCCTCTATGAGCTTGCTTCGCACCCACTTGGAGTCCATCTCGTGCACAAGTGTGGTGCTGTTCTCGTGGTCCAGCATCATGCCCTGTGTGACTCAGCACCTGGCAACACAGCAATCTTGCTTCGCTGCTATGTTGGCGATGGTATTGTGGGCTTGTCCATAAGTGTCCGCTGCAATGGTGGCAATTACAGGAAGATGTCCGTTGTTCGCTTCCCTCGAACAAGCATTGTGTCAACAGAAGTGTTTTCTCCAACAAAGCCAAGGTCGCTGCGAACGGCCATCGCTGTGATCAACTTGCCAGCTTTGCCAGACATTCTCTCAACGCAAACCACCGACTGGATTGATAAGTGAGATGAGAGACTTGTGTTCCTGGAATTAAAAACAATGCAAACACGTAATGTAGGGGACGAACTTAATTATAAAAGGTCGTCACGGAGCATCTACATGGAGGATTCGAAGGGCTAGGTTCTAACGTTACGCAGGGACTACTTTACTACATGATCCTCCCTCATTAGCTCATCATCGTTTATGCAGAACTATATGCTGGCTTGTTATCTAATTTATGTCATCTAGAAGAAGATTTAGATGATAATTGAAAAACAATCAAACGGAAGCACAAAGGACCCGGAAAATAAAAGAAAAGTGATAATGTACTAAGACGAGGTGTTGACGACTCCTCACAAAATGATCCCAAATCACAAGCCAGACTAGTTTCTAACCTACGTTAGGCTGCTCTCCCACGTGCACAAATTCATTGATCTCCTCTGATAAGTTGAGCCAATTCCACTCCACCTTGCGTACGTAGGCTCCTGTGCAGCCCGTCAGAGAATTGAAATCATAAATCCTCACAGAACCGTGAGAAACTTAGTGTGGGGTTGAATTCGTCAGAGGATGTACACTTTGCTGGAAAATGCCACCTCAACGACTTCCGTGGTTGCTTCATCGGTGACATGCAAATCGTTCAGGAAGTGGGGTTTGATGCCAAGCTTGTCAAGCTATGGTTTCGATGCCAAGGCCTCCGCCATGGACTAGAACACATTGAATCCCGACACAGGTCTTTTGTTATCACAACACCACAAGCTTACAAGGAAACCATGGCCTGAAGCCAAAAACCTCGCCTCCAGAGATGAGGATTCCCATTAGTGCGGCCCACAAAATGCAAACCCTGCAATGAATACTCTGAATCCCACGCACGTCCACAAAGCTGATTTTGACATAGAAGATCATTTTGATAATATAAAAATATATGATAGTTGAATTGAGATTAGTCAAATATCTTCCTTAAATCTTCACTAAATATAATTAAATGAATTACTTAAAATAAACAACTTTGTTTATATGTACATATATTTTTTCATCTTTTATGAAAATAAAAACTTTAAAAAATATGAGAATCTTTTAAAAATATACTCAATATCTATAGTTTCAGATTTTTTATGTTTGTAAATATGAGCATTATTATTAAAAAAAAATACATAGTCAATGTTAAAAAAAGAAAAAATAGTAATTCTTGGTCTAAATAATTATGAGTAATATATATATATATATATATATATATATATAAGGAAATTTAAAATTTCATAGTTACATCTTTGGATTATGTTTATATATTGAGATTATTTAATCTTAGATTATATTGTCTTTAGTATAATATATAAAAATATCATTCAGTTGATTTTCCAATTTTTCTATCATATTTCATTCACATTCCATTGAATGAGAATGTAAGCAAGTGGATACATTCCTCCAATTACATAGTAGTAGTAGAGCTTGAATTTGGTTGTCTCTACATGTTTATCACTATGTTATCTTTTGGCAAATAATGTTGGGATGTGTATCACTTGTCGTCGAAATAAGGGCTTAATGTTGATGATGCTAGGAATGGTCTACTTGCGCATTAAAGCATGGATGGGATTGGATTTCATTGACATCAAGCATGTTTTACTTTGAGATTTTTCCTCATGATCCAAGCAAGAGGATTTAAGAGGAGTTTAAAGGACTGCTAGAGGTGCGGAAGGCACATGACAGGTTTATGTATTTTGCCATAGATAGAAAGGCACCAAAGCTGAACAATAATTTTAATTTATTTCTTATATTTTTATCTTATCACAATTTATTTTATTAAAAGATTGTAGGATTAGAATTTTGTATATCTATACAATAATATTAATTGTGAACACCTATTTGCTTAAGTAAGAATCATAAATTTATAACCTTTTCGGTTTGATCTAATGGCCATTTAAACTTTAGTAAAATTTATAATAAGTGACTAAATCCATATTTTTATTATTTTTTGCATTAATAGAATAAATTGAATTTTTAAATTTAATTTAATAAATAATATTAATGGTAATTTAATTTTCTACAAAAATATTCATTTGCATTTGTATTTGGACATTGTAACCTCAAAAGAAAAGAAAAGAAAAGAAAAGAAAAAAGAAAAAAAAACATATTCCTTAGCAATTAAGAATGGCCTAAATATAATTCAAAAAATCAATTATCTATGCAATATACATTAATTGAATATATGATAAGGCATGCTAGCACAAAACACAAAAAATAAATAAATTAGCAAATTAAACGGCTGCAAAAAGAACAAACACAAATCAGTAAGTAAGATATGAGAAAGTAAGACAAGAGATGATAAAATAGGGACTTTATATGAGGGCACATTTATAAAATGAAATCACATTCCTCCTCCTAAGGTTCATACCTCTTATAAAACCAAACATTGAACAAGAACAATCAATCCTATGCAAAGACCATTAAAATCCAATATCATTCACATTTTATCATATATTTTAAAGAATAATAGAAATAACAATAATAGAAGAATGTTAAATAGACCCATGCTGAATATAGTAATCATGATGAAGAATATAGTAATCATGATGAATGTGGTTGGTTTTTATTGATTGCAGATCCAATAGTGGACAAATGAATTTAGAAATGAATCTAGAAATCATTATTTTTTTCATGTTGGTTTTCATCCTGGGTCGATTTAACATACCCAATGATAATAACAACTACAACTATTTCTTCTTCTTTCTTTCTTTCTTTCTTTTTTCCTATGTGCAAAGATCTTTTTGAATGGTAAAACCATTATTTTTATGTAACCATTCTTCCGGCAACTGGAACAGAAATGATGCCTGGGATTGGCAGACTTTGATTGAGGTCCTATGAAAGTTGTGGGGAATCGCAGGGCTAAGAATCACGACCTTTGAATGACAAGCATTCATTCATATTCGCAGCCAATCTTGCTCACCAGATGTGATGCATATTACCAAAGCAATATTTTTGTGGATGCAGTTTTGGAGAAGTAAGGAACTAAGTTCATTGGATAGAAGTTTCGATGGATCGGTGGAAAGGGAGCTGTATGAGATCATGACGGAGGCCTTTGGATGGATTTAATCACTTGTAGTAGTGCTTGTCCAAATTTATCGCGTGAAACAGCCTGCGTCGGTTAGTCTGGCTGTTTTTCAGGGGGTGGAGCGTTGTTTTTTTCTTTTTTTTTTTTTTTTTTTTTTTTTGCATTTTTGCATTTCAGGTGTTTTTTTAGGTGTTTTTTTTGAGGTTGTTTGTGTGAGATTGCTGATATTGTAGTGGGTTCGAGGTGGGTTGATTGCTTCTGTGTCGATATTCCGAAGTGGGTTTTTATGGACAAGGTTATGCTCGGTGCATAGGTCGCTGAATTCAAAGTTGTGGAAAAGGACGGAGACTGAGATGCTTTGAGATGGGTGATTTTTTAAAAGTGCGTTGAGAAGGGTTTTTCCAGAAATCGGGATTTAGGGTTTAGCGGTGGCTTCATGTTGTGGATATCTGGCACATGTTGTAGCGTGCCGCGTGGGTAGCGCGGCAGATTGTTGAGACGATGGCTGCTCAAGGTTCGCAGAGCTTGGTTGGGATGGCGGAAGCGGATGTGGGTGGTGGTGGCGGAGTTGGAGCCCCCCCTGCTGATGCTTGGCTACAAGCGTGGCGTGCAATTGCGCCGCAGTGGGAGCAGATACGCGCCAAGGTTAAGGTGAGTGGCTTTGCAGAGTGGCAATGTATCCGCATTTTGTCACACGAAGTGCCAAAGTTTACTCAGCGATGGTACTACATGTGTGGAAATTATTCCATCCAGCAACAATCGGAATTTGACATAATTTGGGCATCTACTCGTTTAATTCCAATTCTCTGAAGCGGCTTACAATTCAAGAGCAATCTTGTTCTAAAGATTAAGTTCGGAGCTTGATTTTCTACTTTTATCGTGGTTTTCATCTTGCAGAGGCCAGATGACATTCCTTGTGGTTGACGACTGTTTTCACGTCAATTAAAAATGGATTTTCAATTATGGTTTAGCATCGCAGGGTTTAGGTTTTAGGTATAATCAAAGTGGGAATGCCGCTGGTTGAAAGGCAGTAGGTCAGATTTTTAATATTTTCGCCCTTTGTTGGGCGGTTTGGATGTTAGATGTCGTGAATCGGAGTTAACTTGTACTTTGTGTGGATGGCTGTGGTTTTACAACAGACAGTCCCAGACGTTCCAATATTGAGAGTCAACCAGATTGATGCTGCAAGACTTGATGTGGAGATGACGGGTATGCTCAAGGAGCAACTCAGTAGAGTTTTTTCTCTGTCACAGGTATGCTCGTTTCTCGGTATGCTCAATTATGCTTTCCCCTACTGCTGGTTACCTTACTCAGCAAGTGATTAGGGGACGAAGACCATCTCGGGATGAAAGTCCTAATTGACTTCCTGCTATATGCTCTGCCATACGCTCTATATGACATTGTCGTGAAATGAGGGTGTACTATATTCTGCAGGAGGTTAACGTATTTTCTTTTTTGCAGCCAGGTCTTCTGTTACGTTATGAACCCGAGCTAAATGCTTTCTTGGAATTTCTAGTTTGGCGTTTTTCCATTTGGGTGGATAAGCCAACTCCTGGAAATGCCCTGATGAACTTGCGGTATCGAAATGAGCGCTCTTTCAACACATACCTCAAATTTGGCAAAGGTCAGTCTACAGTGTCTTAACTTAGCATCAATGGTCTATGTGATTTGTGACCTCCGCTTCTTCATTTGTTACTGCTTCGCACCTTTACTGCCCCATTGACACACCTAACGAGCCGATCTTAAAGGTAGTTTAGTGCCAGGAGTCCTGCGATCGTGGGCAATTGTGATGCTGATGTCTTGATGTTATGCTTCTCTTTTTTGAGCAGTGAGAACAGGTTTGGAGGGTGCCGGGTTGACAAAAACACAGAAGATTCTTTATTGTTTACTCGTTGTGGGAGGTCGCTATGCATGGGCCCGCCTCCAACTCATATCTGCTTTCCAGCGTTGGGGAGACCGGCAAAGGGTAATATATCCGAACAGAAAGGCCCAACTCTCGAATAGCTGGAATACTTATATTGATAATTACATCATTTCTAGTTGCAGGAAATGAGTTGTAGCCAGCTAGCTTGTTTTTCGCAGCAGAGGCAATTCCAGTTGTAGAAACAGTTATTGACTCGGTTACCAACTTGCCATGGCAGACATCGTGGGCTCGTCGTGCATGGTTGCTGTTGCAAAAAGCAGAGAGTTTGTATAAAATTGCGGGATTTGCCAACCTTGTTCTGTTTCTTCACTCTGGAAGGTGGGTCCCTGTTTCTCATACCTAAGTCATCTTGAAAAATGTCTTTTTCCGGTTTAGCTGACTTCGGTGTGAGCATTATTGCATTGGCAGCATCTGGAGTCTAACAAGTGTTTCTGTTGCAGATATCCAAGTACAGTGGAGAGGCTTTTGGGAGCCCGTTTGGTTTATGAAAAACCTGATATGAATCGGGCTGTTAGCTTCGAGTACATGAATCGACAACTTGTTTGGCATGAATTCTCTGTAAGTTTTTTTTTTTTTTTTTTTTTTTTTTTTTTTTTCTTCTTCTTCTTCTTCGATCTACATTAGGGCTTTATAATCAGGGATAGTGAATGATACTAAGAATTTTAGATTGTATAGTTTGCTTGATATGTGTTATGTTGGCAATCTTGGACCTGCGTTGTGCCTAACAACTATTTCCCATGTTCTGCTCCTCACCAATCATCATTCTGTGTATGCAGGAATTGCTCTTGTTGATCCTCCCTCTTCTCAACATGATGTCTATTCGGAAAGTTCTCATGTTCCCCTTCTCTACTCAAGCCCCTGCATCTAGTCTACCTGAGGATGCGTGTCCAATATGTGAGGCGTGCCCCATCGTGACCCCCTACATGGCTCTTCCTTGTTGCCATTTATACTGCTATTACTGCCTTAGAACTCGAAGTCTTTCCGACAGGAATTTGAAGTGCTCACGTTGCAGTGTCAGTGTAGTGGCCTTGAAGCGATACCAAGTTGAGGCTGGTTTAGATGGCTCTGGTAGCACTGATGCAGCGTCTCAATGAAGCTTTATTTTTAGATCGTTTGCTCCTTTACCCTGTTATTTCTCCACTTGTACACAACCCACTTTGCAATATTCTTATTTAAATGTGTTTTATGAGCACAAATTTATGGTTCGTTGCCTCTTGTTTAGACGTTCTCTCTTCCTCCTTTGGATGTGTTGAAATCATTACTGCAGAATATATATCATAGTTACAGTATTTAGAGTCTAGAGTCTAGTGGAGAAGTATTGTTTATCCTCTTTTTTTTTTCTCTTCTTGTATACGAGTCACAACCAAATCAATAGATTTTTGTGTGTGAAGCTCTCTCTCCTTAGAAACCCTCTCTTCTTGTATACGAGTCACAACCAAATCAATAGATTTTTGCGTGTGAAGCTCTCTCTCCTTAGAAACCCTCTTGTGTGTATGACTTATTACTACTCTTGTGTGTATATGACTTATTATTACTCTTGTGTCTTTTTAAACATTCTCAACACGTTATCAGCACAATTCTCTTCTACACATTATCACAATTTTTTTGCTCTAGTCTTTGACTCTTCAAACTTGTTACTACCTTTGCTCAATGTCTGTCTCATGGTTTTGTTCTTCTTATTGGCCCCTCACACCTTAGCTGCTTGCTTAGAGCACTTGTTCCACTCTCTGCCTTGCTTGCTTAGAATACTTGATCCAGCCCAATTCCACCCCAGCTTGCTCCCTACTCCCTACGCCCCTGTCATCGAACTGCCGTTGTCATGTTGTAACACGAGTATACAGTGAAAATAAAAAGAAAGGGGAATTTTATTAATATTCAGTTACCTCGAATATTGGGAGCATCGACCAACTCCAGTACAAATACTGAGTGGTCAGGTTCAGTGACTCCGTTACAGTTAGCCGGGGCATACTGGAATGCCCCGTTCGATTCCAATAACGGGAGTCAGCAGGAAGAGAAGGACCAATTCACACGACGGGTTCGAGGAGCCAATTGGATCCAATTTCGATAATCCAATCTGGGTCCTCTTACCCAATATGAGACCTGTATTGGTGGGGCAACCCAATGCAGTCTAGTTACGGGAAATCCAGGTCTTACTACGGGTCTTAGCCAATCTGACGCGAGGACCAATTGGATCCAATTACGGGAACATCCAGGTTACTACGGGCATCCTTCCCAATATAGGACCTGAATTGGTCGGGCGACTCAATGTGGTCCCGATTACGGGGTTCGATTCTGTTTCAGGCTGTCCTGTTCTCTGTGCCGTCTCAGGGAACGTTGTTTTCGGTAAATGGATTTCTTAAAGGTAAAAACGGAGGAGAAAGCTTGGCGGCGAGAGCCAATTTCGAATCCAAGTTGAGGTGAGAGCCAATTTCGGATCCAAGCTTGAGGTGGGAGCCAATTCCGGATCTAAGACGGAAGATTGAAGAAATTCAGAGGATAAGGTTAGGGGGGATATAGTTTTGGAGTGGTGGGGGGTTTTTTTTTTTTTCAAGGGGAAATCGGGGGGGGAAGCGAGTTTTTTTTTTCAAGCTTCTGCAAGGTTACCAGTTCGGGTTTCATTGGGGGTTTTTTTGGGAAGATCAAGGGAATTAGAGAGAGGAGCTTCATGCTTCGGGTCGGGGAAGGAAAGACATAGAATTTGGATTTTTCTTCTTCATAGAGTTTTGGGAAGACTGAGGCAATCGCGGCTGAAGTCAGTGTTGTAATGGTGAATCGGGATTTTTAAATAAAGTGGGTTTGAATACTCTTGACTGTTTTGTAAAATCGAGTTACGTCTGTGATTGAAGGATTAAAGGGGTGTCTATAGGATTGAGTATGCGGAGTGAATGAAATTTATTGGGTTAATCTAACAGGACAGTCAGTGGATACAAGATCGTAAGTACAAAGGGGTATTGAAGATTAACAGTTTGGGTTGTTCGGAGTTCTCTGTAACGTCTAGAGACCTATCGGTTGGGAAAAAAAAAAAAAAAAAAAAAGACTTCGACAAGCAGTCGAAGAGCATCCGTATAGATTTACGGTACATTGTTGTAGTCATTTATATTCCAGCAGTCAAAAACTGATAGACTGCTTGACTATTGGCGAATCTCCATACTACCTTCTACAGCCAGACGCCCGGCGCGTTCTCGAGCAGGAAAGCACGTAATACGACAAAAGTGGTGAACCCGACATGAAAGCTTGAGGTAGAAGGTATTGGATTTCGGTTGATTTTATCTTTATTTTTTATGGAAAACGAAAATAAAAATTTTGAAGGATTTTTGGGAGAAATTTCTGGTGGGGAGTCTTCTAAAGGACAAGGTATGCACATGGATCCGTCTATTGCTAGTTTGTTTCAAGCCTTCTCATTGTCAATGCAGCAACAGCAAAGCAATGATCGAAAGGAAGCTTTGGCAACTAAAGCATTGCAAGCAGTGGTCAATAAAATTGATCAATTTGATGGGAGGAATATTTCAAGGTATTTAAGATATTATGTTTGTGAAATGGAATTAAATCGGGTTTCTGAGAAGAAAATGGTTGCACTATTTGGACTTGCCACGATACCGGAGATAAGGGACCACATTACATCGATTACGGATCGTTGTGGGAATTCTTGGGAGGATTTTTCACATGCATTGAAAGACGAATATTTCTTGGAAGATGCTGATCGCGTTACTAAGAAGCTGTTTCTGGGATGGATTGAACGGCCCAATAAGAATTTGCAAGCAACAGAGCTACTAAGGGAATTTGAGAGGCAGTACTCTCAATTATCGAAGGTAGAAAAATTGACATTGGAGCCGAACAAAGTTGATCTATTTCTTCAAGCTGCTGATGGAGAATTGCAAGAGAAATTAGAACCCCTTCTTGAAGACAAAGAAGAAGATGAAGGATTGACAACGAAGTGGAAGAACGTTGAAGATGCGGTGGGGTTGCTTACAAAAAAAGAAAGGAGGAAGGATAGGAGTAATATTCCGAAAACAGTACAAGCACCCAAAGCTCCAGTACGTACTACACCACCGACAATGCCTACAGTTCAACCTTCGACATCCTTGTGAAAGAAAACAGATATGGGTATGGAAGAAATTATACGAGGAATGCGAGATCTTCAAATCAAATTGGCAAGACTTGAAGAGAATACTTCTATAAACAATTCGAAGAATGTTTCAAAACAAGGATATGTACAAAGATGCATTTGGTGTGATGATGCTTCACACACTAGAAAAGATTGCAATGAATTTAATAATATGATACGGCAGGGAATTATTTGCTGGAAAGATGGGAAGATAGCATTGAAAGATAGGGAGGATCTTCTTCAAACCAATTTTGGCAAGGGAGGAATGAGAGCATTGGTTCAAGATTACTTAAAAGGGCATGAAACAGTAGCACGAGAAAGTGCAAGTTATGGTGCTAGAGTAGATGATGAAATTGGTGGAAGTACGGAAACTAGTGAGTTTTGGGCTTCTGCCGTTTCTACAATGCAAGAAGGGAAATTACCTCGAGAAGCGTTATTGAGAACTGCAGCTACAATACGAGGAAGAACAGGTTGGGAGGATCCTGTTGAGTCTCTTTCAGTTCATGCATATATTTCTAAGAGCCAACATGAAGCTTTGATGGAAGAAAAAAGACGAGGAAATTTTGATGATACTAGAGAAGGAAATTTTTCTAAGAGGCAAACTCGAGGAGACAAGGCTCGAGAGGCAGCTTCACAAGAATTGCCTGTAAAGGATACCTCAGCATCATTGGGAGAAAAAACAACGGAGACAAAAGATAAGGGCAAATCAATTGCTTATAAGCTACTTTCTGACATTGAAGCGGCAACAAATTTGAAAGGGGTGTTGGAAGAACGTATATTAAACGCTAAGGTGGAATTCACATTGAAAGAAGTCTTGGAAATTGCAAAGAAGGAGTTTCATGATGTTATCATTGACAGCATTAAGCGAAAGAGGCAATTAATGAGCGAAATTGGAATGAGTCATGCTATTGACGCAAGAATATGTAGAGATGAAGAAGAGGTTGATATTGGTTACAAGCAACCAACAAATGAAAAGAATGGGTATAATCAGCGAGTACGTTTCGAAGATTCTAGTGACAAGGAAATGGAAACTTTGAGTCATTATACTCGAAAGCATTGGGCAAGGGCAACTACTGAGGTATTGGTGAAGGTAGGAGATATAGAAGAACCAATAGTTGCTTTGGTGGACCATGGTTCTGAAATAAATCTCATGTCTAAAGATCTTTATAAGAAGCAAAAATGGCCAATTGATATGGAACATGGATGGGCAATACGAGCAGCTAATAACACACGAGGCGAATTATATGGAGCTTGTCCAGATGTCAAAATTCGGATTGGGGATGTTGCGACGGAGCAACATTTCTTCGTTTAAGATACAACGTCTTATCCGTTGATTTTAGGACAACCTTATATCACGGCAACACGGATGGAAACAAAGGTACTTGACGATGGTTCTGCTTATGCAAGGGTACGGAGCGAAGATGGGAGGAAAGCTGTACAATTTCTAACAGTACCTCCTAACCATGAACGGAATCGAGATAGGTTGAGGGAAAAACCATTGCCAAAGATTGTTGAAGGATTTAAGGATTTTGGGGAGGTACCACTGTAAAGCGAGATTATGGAGGTACAAAAGAGGAGGTACTCTCGCGAGATGAAGGTGCCTTTGATGCGAGTTTTATTGGTATATTGGAGAATGGAAATATTATGTATAAGAAAGTTGAAGATTTTAAAAGAAAAGAAAGAAAAAGATTATATGATATTGAAGGACAGTTACGCAAGATAGGTACATAGCAAGATGATGAGAGGATTTTGGGTGTTTATGAAGAAAATGGGTTGGAAGATTCATTGGAATTGATTACATCTATTGGGTTAGGGAATAATGATAAGATTGTTGAGATTCATTCGAGAGAGGTTTATACCATGCTTGAATCTTTTCAAGCACCAGAAGTCACAATAGAGACGAGATATAAAACGGCAGATAAGAAGGTAAAGCCTGTTGCCGGACCATTACCAGAGGATTCTAAAGAACAAATGGGAGAAGCATCAAAAGAAGCAAGTTTAAGAGATCCAATGAGTATTGGACATTAGTTTACTGAAGAGACTTTTGAAGAATTGAAGATTGGTTCTGATGGTTCTTTATTGCCGGAGGAAATTACTTGCT